GTTTTAAGACACAGGAAGATCTAATGGAAAAATATATTTTGCTTAATTTGTAAAGATACCGTAAGTCTTCAAATTTCATTTATTTACTTTATTTAAAAATGTTTAATCTGAGATCATTCTGCTAATTATCTAATTCTCTACAACTTAGCTTGTTTTTTTATTTCTTTTTTTTCCTACAAATATATCTGGTCTCCAAATTATAACAGTCGAACCTTAAAAAAGTATAAAAGTGAAACAAAAATCAGTCCAAACATGGTGAGAAATGATTTTATTCTTTTCAAAATAACAACATTTAACTTGAGGAATAATTAGTTTGAATGGTTTTTCTGCAGTGTGTGACACGCTGCAGAAAAACCATTCCAACATGGACCATGATCAGTAGATCCCGTAGGTGTGCGGTTTCCCGTCTCTGTAGCGGTCCAGGTAGCGCAGCGGCTGTTTGTGTGGGTACTTGACCTGTGGAGGGTGGTACACAGGTGGTCTGATGTACTGGAACACCGGCTCCTTCATGTCTGCAGAAACAAACAGCAGCAGGCTTACATCTCCACACACAAAACACAACAATAACACAAACAGGCCTAGATTTATCTGCACTTTCACACAACTCCATTAGAAAACACACAAAACTTCTCAATCATTTGTAAATTATTTTGTACTTTTATGTTTAAAAACAAGGAGTCCTCTGTGGACATCGTCTCTTTATCTGCACTTTTTATCCTTTTGACTCTTTATAAATGTCTGCTTCAGGTACAACAGTCAGCTTCAGGAAGGGATGAAACAACATGCAGCGTGTGAGCAAACTTCAGATTAATCACAGATTAATCAGAGTAAGTTCAGATTAATCAGAGTAAGTTCAGATTAATCAAAGTTCAGATTAATCAGAGTAAGTTCAGATTAATCACAGATTAATCGCAGTAAATTCAGATTAATCACAGTAAATTCAGATTAATCACAGATTAATCAGAGTAAATTCAGATTAATCAGAGTAAATTCAGATTAATCAGAGTAAGTTCAGATTAATCAGAGTAAATTCAGATTAATCAAAGTTCAGATTA